AATGATTTATACACAATGGAAATTTTCCAACAAACTTATAATTTTCCTTTAAAGAATCTTTACTCTCCTCCTCGAGCTTCTTGTCTATATCCCAGCGACTTATTGACATCACTTAGCAGTCCTTATCACACTATCTCCATGTGCCATATGCATCATTCTTCCTTTATTGTTAACTATGGGATGTTTTTAAATGTCATGTCGTGTAAAAGAGTATTTTACAATAAACTCAGTACTTAAATAATAACAGTATTTCAACCCAGAAAGTTATCTTGCATTGAACAATGGAGTTTGGATTTTAATTCGTTTTTAATTATATTTATGAGTGCAACTTGTATGCATGTGCACTGAGATATATGCTAGAAGTCCATAGTGGTCACAAGATGGAATTAGATCTCCTGAAGCTGGAGTTGCAGACAGTTGTGAGTTGAACTTGGGTTGTCTGAAAAGGCTAGCCATCTCTCTAACCCTCAATGGAGATTTTAAAACAAAGCACATCCTTCATCATCCATTCTTGACATTATATAGACAAATATTATCCCTGAATTAGATCACAAGCTTCCTCTGAAAAGACTGTATTTTGCAGGTTCCTCCATTGTTTAATATGGAGCAAAGCATATAAAACCCAGATGATAGATTTTCATTGCATATAAACTTAGAGACCCTTGACTCTGGCTCTATGGGGAGCTTTTTATATGGATTATATATTTTTCTATTTTGGCCGTTTTGAGACTATAATATAAGATGGGGATTTTCTTCCCCCTCCCTCCAACACAGTATTTTAGGAAATGGTTTACGCAAACATCAACTTGTTCCTGTTGTGTTTGCTAGCCCTCATTGTTCTACATTGCTTTCTCCCCTTCAACATATGTCACTAATAACATCAAAATACTGGAGAAAAGGGCACACTTTAGGTGGAGAGTAAGAAAACAGAGTTCCAGGTACAAATAAATCTTTCATGTTAATTCACCGGGGAAGCAATTCCCACACATTAGTTTTCAGTATGGATTTACAAGAGTTTTATGGAAAAGCAGTGTAAGATACTACTTTGTAGAGTCTATATGTTATTGTTAAGCAGCCATAATTTGAGTATTAAATCTACCAATTGCAAGAATTGTTATACATTAATAAGAATTGGTGATTTATTAATTAGTCTGTGACATGGAAAAAACAAAGAAAGTAACATTTCAGGATTTTAGGAAAGCAAATAAGAGAAGAAACAAATACAAAAAAATCATCAATAGAGCCTTCAGTATCTGACAAAATCCAGTTTTCAGGAGATTGAGATCCTGCTCCAACCCGACATTTCAGTTCTCTCAGTCAGAGATGGCTCCTTACCCATGCTTGGTCCTGTCAGAGTCACAAATCTCTTATATGTAGATTTATGCATTTAAAACAAACAAAACAATGAGAAAATTCATTGAGACCAGCATACAGATGTTTGAGTCTGAGCGTATTTGGCTATCTGTAGTTAGATCTTCTCTGACTTTTCCATGTGCCAAAAATTTCAACTATATCATAGATAAACTTGAGCTAGGTGTTGGTTACTTGCAAACGGAAGAGTTTGCTCAATACATACTCTGTCTAAATTGGGCAAGACAGCTATAATTCAGTCTCCGAGGGAGACTGGTAAAGTAGTTTCCAAGTGTTCTGAGTCACAGAACACTAGATGGATGTATTAAAATGTGTCTTTTCTTATTCATTCACAGAGAAAGCCCTAGAGTCTATCTGTGTAATACACAGTCACTTAAGTTAGTTTCTTGGCAGCTTGTTTTTCTCTGCTCACAATGTGTTTGTCCTCCCATGTTATTCCCTGTATTAGCTGTCAGTTATGAAGACAGACAGATCACATCTTCTCCGTGCCTCTCTAGACAGAATTTATAACTGATACTTCATTTTTGTGTGGGATATTCATACATACATTAGTAAGTATTCTGAGCTGCCATCTGCTATCCATCTAGTATAAGTAGAACACATTATTTTGTAGTATTGATGTCCTAGTTAGTTTTTGTTGTTAACTTGAAACAAATTGAAGTCACCCAAGAAGAGGGAACTTCAACCGGAGAACCACCTCAATCAGATTGGCCTGAAGCTGTGTCTGTAAGAGATTATCTTGACTGATGATTGATGTGGGAAGGCTCAGTCCCCTGTGGGAAGTATCCTTCCCAGACAGGTGGATTTGGCTGTAGAGGTAAGCTAGCTGAGCATGACGCAGCAAATGAGCAATTGCTTCTCTGTGGTTTCTTCCTCTATTTTTGTCTTAGTTCCTGCCCTGACTTCTTTTAGTGATGGGTTGTCACCTGGAAGTATCATTTAAATAAGCCATTTTCCCCCAAGTTGTTTTTGGTCAGAGTGTTTTAACACAGAAACACAAAAGTAGCTAGGTAATAGCTTAATTTTCTTTGATATGCATATGTAAAGACACTCGGAGTCTTCTAATTGATTTGATAAATGACCACAGTTTTCATGATTATGAAACTTTACCTTAGGTATGTAATTATTGGTATTTTATTATAAGTCATTGTGAATATTTCCTGGAATGGGAATGTTTAAATTTTTTTATTGGTATGAAACTAGTGGGTTTCATTATGTATATCATTGAATTTTGCTTACGCTATTGTCTTTTATTGCCCCCACCTTTGCCTCTTTCTTTGTCTCAAAGATAGTCCCCGTTCTGCTTTCATGTCATTTGAGCATGTCTCTCCCTCCCTCCTTTTCTCCCTCCCCCCCCCTCTCTCTCTCTCTCTCTGTGTGTGTATTCTGTAGCTGAGAGAAAACATGATGTTTTTCTTGTGAAGTTGGCTTATTTCACTTAGCAGAATGACCTCTAGTTATGGATGGGTTCTTTAAATTTTCCTTATAAATATTTTTCTTTATCATAAAAATTGAATTGTTTACACATAGTGACTGATCTCTTGAATCAAAGAACTATAGAGTTTGACAAATTATTTTTGCCAGGAAAAACTATAAATATGATATATTGTATAAATATCATAGGTTGCAACCAAGGAAAATAGTGTATAAAACTTGTAAGATTTCTCTGAATATTTCACTATTTTCAAGGATTTCATCATTGTTGGTTAATAAATTTATCAAATAAGCATTGTTCTTTTTCTAACATCATGATGTCTTACCCACAGTGACATGGTATTAGATTTCTCCTCAAGCCCACACTTTCTTCCTCCGAATAATGACATAGAGGGTAGAGTCCCTTCTTTATTGAAAGCAGTCTCTTGTGCTCACAGTTTGTCTGTGAATGGCAAAGATCTCTTGACACTAATATGCAAAGATGTGTATGTCCCCTCCTGGATCTTGAGACATCTCAAATGACAGAAACAGTGGCATGAGCACAAAGTCAGCGGTACAGTGATGATGTAGAGGGGGATACACATGCGTGTGCATGTGCACCTGTGTGTATGAATGTATGTGTATGGAGGCAATAGGACAATTTAAGGTGTCCTGCTTCCAGTGCCACTCACCCTTTTTTTTTTAAGAGTCTTTGGCTGGCCTTAACCTACCATGGAGGCTCATCTGACTAGCCCAGCACCCCAAAGATACATTGTCTCTGCCTCCCCAGGGCTGAGTTTACAAATGTGCACCACAGACTACACTTAGAGTTTTCTATTTACATATGACTTTTAGAGAGCCCAAACTCTCATTTGTTGTGACTAATTCTGTGCATACAGATGAGGAACATCTCTCTTTTTTCTTTTTTTTATTAGTTCAAATTAGGAACAAGCTTGTTTCACATACATCTCTCATTTTGCAGATGGTAAATTCGATGAACATTGCCCCCAAAATGCCCCAAGATGAACCTGTTCAGTGGTTCTCAACCTTCCTAATGCTGTGACACTCTAATATAGTTCCTCGTGTTGTGGTGATCCCCCCAACCAAACAATTATTTTTATTTCTACTTCATAACAGTGATTTTGCTATGACTGTGAATCATAATGTAATATCTGATATACAGGATATATGAAATGTGACCCCCAAAGGGGTTGTGACCCATAAGTTGATAATCACTGTGCTGGGGTTTCTTCATCACCACTAATAGAAGCTAACTCTGCATTACAAGAAGAAAGTAAGTTTAGTGGCTCATGAAATTATAAGGCTCAAAGACTAAATGAATCCATTTATAAATAACAATATAGGATATATAGGATATAACAATTGTTATATATAACAATATAGGAACTATGTGATATTGGCAGTTCTTTTCATATCTCAGTAATTTTTCCCTATGTTGACATATAGTATAAAAATTTGACATTGGTAGCAGTGGAATCTTCTGGGTTTTGCTCTCATAACTCCAAATATAAAGAGAATTTGCTTGAATATTTGAACACAATTTCTGGAGAAGACATTGTGGAATGACTTGGTTCTGGCAGAAATCCTTGATGCTGTCACCCTTTCACAGGATAGTATACGTGGTTTAAGGTGAATTACTGGCACCTCTATTATGAAGAAGGTGGGTGAAGTGATTGATAGTTCTAAGAGGTTGGGTGAGACTTCTATCAATGAAAATAAAAAGTGTACGGACAGGTTGAATGGTGGTTATGATAATTGTTTGATAGGAAAGGGAGCACATAACATGCAAAATATATTGTAGGTTGTGTGCTTCATTAGTTACTGGATCTACTTTGTCTCTGAAGCAGGGAGGTAGGGCACCCAGCTGGAAAGAAAGGGAGGAAGATCAGAAAAGAGGAAATTGTCAGTTGTGTGATGGCACATACCTTTAGCCCCAGCACCCGATGATAAATGATCAAGAGTTCAAGACCACCCTGAGCTGCATAAAGAGACTGTGTGTGTGTGTGGGTGTGTGTGTGTGTGTATTAGAGAGAGAGAGAGAGAGAGAGAGAGAGAGTCAGAGAGACAGAGATAACACTTTTCCCATCATTTTATTTACCCAGTTGGCTAATGATGTGTCTCATTTCTGGCACAGTCAAAAGTTTTCTAAGTTGGAGTCCTTTTCTTTTTATGACTTTTTTATTTTAAACTTCTAGGTGGACAAAAAGATTGTAAGAACCGAGATAGGAGTTCTTCTGCGTCTCTCACACCCGAACATCGTAAGTGGCTTTCACCTTATTATTTCAAATCATTTAGAGCTTTAGAATGGATCATTGTCCTCCACTGTCCGCGTTGAAGGGGAGGAGCTGTTCTTCCTCTCTGTCAGGCACTATAGCCTCGCTCAAGGCTGTGCCTCACCACATACAATCAGTTTCAGAATAGATGGGCTAACAATACATATCACACCGCTTTTCAGGCATAAAAGATGAAAAATTGGAGAATTTTATTTTGTTCTAATGAAACGCTGGTTTTCTTCCTCTTTTGTTTGGCTATCTCTTTAATATGCCATTGCTGATAAGGCCTGTGGAGGAAAAGGCATTGCTTTCCAAAGTCCTTTGAGAGAGTATGTGCTTCAGAAATAATGCAAAAATGCAAATAAATGATGTCCATGAATGGGAGGACTAAATGTTTTCCAGACACTGCTGTAGTCTGTGTCCGGACAACGCCTCTGAGAAAAATGCCTAGTGAAAAGCTTTTGGGAATCAATGAAGTGAAAAAGAACAAAATCATTTTCACAGCTGCAATTTGATTTTACAAATTAAGTCATCTACCTAATTTCTTTAAAAACCTATTTTATTTGTATGAAAAAGTTATGTCTGGGATGATGACCTGCAGTGTTCAAAGCAAAGGACATACAACTTGATACATGAGGAAAAGGCGCACTGAGCCACACACCATCAAATACTTTTCTGAAAATGAGTAAGAAGGTGGACTGTAGATTTCTACCCAGGACCCAGGCTTCAAGCATCCCCATGCGAGCCGTTTTCCATTCCTTGGTGCATTGACTTCTCATGCTGCACTTTGTGTTCATGGCCCCATACTGACAGCTCCACATTTTTATAAATCCCCAGGTTGATATTTAAGGGAGAAATAGGAAGGGCCTCATCAGCAGAGAGTCAGGTGAGAAAGGGTTGCAGAAGCTACAGCAGCAGCTTGCTCGTCAGACTTCGCTGGCCAGAGCTAGCTGCAGATGCTCCCCAACTACATACAGGCTTGCTGATCAGAGGGGCTTAGGCCACTGTTGCCCACAGTGTGGGACCAGACACCAGAGTTCAGTATGCAGTGAAGTATGGGGTAGCTGTGAGTGAACAGTTCTTAAGTGTGCCTATATACAATCATCACTTTCACGCCGTCCAAGCCTCTTCTTTCCAAGGAAGTCGGTGTGCAGCATTCATCCCATGTGGCCCAGTGCTGGCCTCCACATTCCCCGATGTCTGGAGAAATATCCACATTTGGTTGGATTATTTGAA